AGTTAGGTAAATTTTCATTGTTCGCAGCGAGCATGCGCACAAACTCGGTAACCAACAGCTGTTCAACGTATCTAGTGGTTTTGCTGTAAAGTAAAGAAAATTCTCATACACACACAAAGATGTAACCGCTCTCTTGCTATCTCTCTTTTAAATTGGCAGTCACCAATCTAGCTTTCTCTCTCCTGTTTTCTATCTTTCTCTCTTAATAAAATCAAACCAAGTCTCTGGCAAAATTTTGCCAGAGATTATGTTATCTGGCAATTGCAAGAAAATGCATGAAAAAAAAAGAAAAAAAAAATAAAATAAAGAAGAAATAAGATTTAAGCTTAGATATCACTCTTGGTTTTTATTTCACTTGAAGGCAAAGGCTAGGAAATGTAAAAATACTGATAAGATTTTTCAGGCTCAGACTTCACATCTCACACACAATATTACCCAGGGTATAGTAACGGCTAAAGCCCAACAAAAATCATGATGAGAGTGAGTGTAGGAAACGAGAAACAACAACAATAATACGCTAAACAACAGCAACAACATTTTTTGATTAAAAAATGATGATAACATAACAAAAAACCCCATCTCTAGTCTGAATGTATGAATGTATGTATAACGCATAAATGTGGGATATATCTAAATCTATATAAATATTTATATTATATATATATATATATATATATATATATATATATGCATATACATATATATATACGTATGTAGAAATATCTACAAATGTATATGTGTGGGTTGATTCGCTTGCTAGCTGGCTGACTATCTGGCTGGTTGGATGACTGGTTACTGTTGTATGCATACACATATAAATATATACGATATATGCATGATGTTCATATATTTGTGCATTCTACACCAAAAATTGTTAGTCAGCACAAACACATTGAGAGTGAGAGATACAGATACAATTAAACAGAACTGTGTTATCACAACGCAATAATCAGAATTCCATTAGCTGGCAAAGTATTCCAAATATCAACGTATGGGCGATTCCAATGGCTGAAACTCAATATGTTCGCTAATCTTTTAGTAGGCTTGAGATCAATTTTTATTTTCTCAATTTTTTGCACAATTATTATTATCATTACATATATTATATAAAGAATGATAATCAAAACTTCAAAAAGTCTGGGATTTAAACTTCGTACTGATATTAAGTTGCTAAGCCCAAGCCTTTTTTTTATAACCCACACCAGTTGTGGTGTAAAGGTATATTAAGATTGTGCAACACCCAGAGCGACTTGACATAGATCCATCTTTTATTATACAGATCGATTCAGAATCAAGTTTTGCACCGATCTAAGATTGTATGTCCCTGTTCTCTGTCTTGCTTACGTGTGTTCGACCTACTCGTCGCAATTTTTGAGATACTTTGACAAGATCTGTTTCGGATGATGGACGAACGAAGTGGTTCGGATCGGACCATTTTTTCCAACCACTCCTCCTATAAAAACCTAACTTCAAAAGTCCTTATATGAACAAGTATACTAAATGTAGGGTATTTAATGGTGAACAGCATTCCACCATTATATTGCACTTGTTTTTACATAAATATGTTCAAAAAATCCCTTGATTTAGTTTTAGATAGAGAATTTTGGGGCTGGAGTTGCTGTGGAGCCAATTTCTTTTCAAAAAAAGTATCAAAAAAGTTTTGAAATTATCTGAACGACTGTACAATCATCCGTAAAAGATTTCTTACAAAACACTTATTGGGCATTCGTAAATACATTCGGGCAGATGGCTCACAAATTCGTGATCGCAAGTTAGCGTTAACCCTTAAGTTAGGTCGAATCCGAATAGATTAAGATAAGATCTCTTTATCACGTATTATATCATTTATGAATAATTTACAAATATTATATAAATATAACTCAGAAAATAGAAATTTATCTATTAATCCCATTGGCTTGATTCATTCCCCAACAAATTACACTCACATTTGGTATCAGCCGATATTATTAATTTTATCAAGTTTGGTAACTTTACAGCAAAGGTCTGTTAGTGGTTTTTGGGAATTTTTGTAATTTTAACTATGTAACCAGACTACTTGATGACAATGCAATTATGAGCTCATTGCAACGACATCATAAACCGCATAACTTTCTATAAATCGAGCCGAATAGATAAACATTTCGACTACCAACACAGCACTGGCGGATTCAAATCTCAGTGCGGTAGATTATAATAGGCCGAAACAATAGCTACGAACCAGTCGGTTAAAGCATAGCACTTACCGACTAGTTAGCGGCCACTCCCTACCTTTCCCCGTCTTTCTTAAATTCTTTCAGACCATCGCCGATGACTGAGTGTTAAGCCACACATTATAAAGAAAAAAAAAAAAAGCTTTGAAAAACGCAATCGTGCTCTTAACGAAACTTGGAAGTGCAGCAAATTTCATTGCTCAGTGCATTTTTGCTCTTAAAAAACAATTTATTACTTTTTAAGATATACGCAACTCTTCGTTAGATCACTGAAGTGCACTATGTATGGTTAAAAACATGGTTAAAACATTTGACAAAGCTAATGGAAACAAACAATACATAAATAATATAAGGAAAAAAATTACAGTGGGGTATGACGTTTAAGGAAAATTATGGAAAAAGTCAAAAGGTCAAATCCGAAGAGTTTTCAATAGGGTTCGTGCTTGGATCGAAGCGCATTAACTGGTTCTAGATTAAACACCAGAAAGTGAGGTGGACAGACAGACAAACAAGCGCAGCTCGATTCAGAAAAGGATTCTGAATATATATGTAATAAAAGTTGGGCCTATTTCACGTCCTTTTAGATGGTGCATACCACTGCACAAACTGAACATACCCTTGGACCACAAGTGATGTTTGACATATAAAAAAAAATTGTTGTGTAACTTTTAAAAAGTTTGGAAGAACGGTTCAGTTCTGGAGTTTTTTTGGTAGCTATTAGAAGACTTAATAAAAAAATTAGTGCGATCTGGGCTGGCTTCTCGATGTTGAAATATTTTAATTTTCCTTGAAAGACTGAAGAGACTAGAATTCCTTTTCACGCTTTTGCTCAGTCCTCGATCATATTGAAATAGAAATCCAATGTTGACTAAACTACATCTGCTTCTTTACTTCCTAAGACCGCTGCACCGCTAACATCCCTCGCTTTGTCTATTATCAAAGTTCTCGAAATCATAGAATAGTTCGATGAAGTTAGTATCTTCTACAATATTTATGTTTCAACAGCTAATGGCATATGCAAGCGCCCATATTCATTGGCGAGCTAACACTTATCATACAATAATATCGCGCTCCCGCACACCATACATTCATACATAAACACATATAAATGATAGGTATGTATACATATTTATTCAATGTATACTGCATTAGAGCAGAATATTGTTAAGTTTTAGATTAACTCAATTCAAAACTCAAAATGTTGAAATGTTGCGATATGACTGATGAATGTAGCTACAAACATATACAAATACAAAACGTAACGCATACATATAAAAACATGCAACTCTTCATAGTCTCAAAGTGTATTAAATTTCTATACCTACAGCTAAAACTTATAATATATATATATATATATATATATATATATGTGATATGTATATATGTTATATATATATATATACAAATGGAAAGATGTGCACAAATGTTGTGTGTTTGTGTATGCGTTCGCTGTATATCCGTTTTGTGTGCTATTAAATGCAAACTTCTGCTAGAGTGCCGCTGATGTCGCTGCTTGGTTTGTTTATTTGTTTGTTGGTTGGTTGGTTGGTTGACTGGCTGGCTGGCTGGCTGGCTGGCTGGCTGGCTGGCTCGTTTGGCTGGATTGATGTTATCTAAGACTGGGCTGCAAGCTTATCAATGCTTTATCAGTTTTTGTTTCGAAACGAATGAAACAACAACATCTACAACAACGAACAGTAACAAGCAAACAAACGAATCAAGTAAATATTGACTAAGCGAGTGTAGGAGCTAAATTACTACGAGATACTGGCTCTCTCGCATTCTCACGAAGGAAGGAAACGAAAGTGGATATTGCTTGAAGACATTAAGGAGAATGCATCAGTTCCTGCCCGACTAGTTATTTGATAAAGATGAAGGAAAGAAAAAAAAAAAAAAAAAGCATTATGAAACATAACATATCTGTTTACTATCTAATCTGAGAAAATAATTATTTTTTTTTTTTTTTCATTTTTATTTTCCTTTCCTATCAAATATTGAAAAGAAGAGAACTTTAACTCTAATGTTTTATATTTGATTTAATTTCTATTATAAAATACAAAATTCAATGATTAACTAGCGTAGACAGGCTGATTGACGGAGTGGCTTAGTGAATTAACTTAACGTATAACTAAGTGTATGACTAACTCTCAAGGCAGGCAAAGACACGCGCACACACAAGTATATTTTATACGCATAAAATGACGACGACGACGAACGATGGGAAGCAATAATGAAAACAAAAACACAATATACGTCAAGATAAAGATACTCTAAACACATTCAAACCTATCTATATATAAAATATATAAACACATAAACACATAAACACACACACACACACACACACGCACACACTGTCTCTCTCGCATTATCATACAAATATCAGCTGTTTGTGTAGAGCAACAACAACAACAACAACAAAAAGAATGGCAAGCAAACTGAAATGAAAAATCAACATGCGCTCCGTTTTCTCGTATCTTTATATCTGGCAGTAAAAATTTCATTACTTACCGCTCATTCGGTTTTCAGTTTACTACCGAACGTGAAGCAGGCAACATGGTTACTTATTCAACCATACTATGTTTTACGACGAATTCTTCTGTAAGAGAATATTTATTTTAAAATAAAAAAGAAAAGAAAAACTGCATAAAAACAAAAAACAATAGAGTCAATAAAATACAATAAATGAAAAGTTTTTCAAACAAAAAAAAAAAAGAAAAACAGTTGATTGGTTAAGAAGTATAAACTAACTAACTGACTTTCAATGATGTGTAAGAAATGTTTTTGTTTTTTTTTTTTTTGTTTTTCTTTCTTTTTTGGGCCTTCGATGTTTATCGAAAATTGTAAACGATGGAAATGTTAAAAAACCAGCAAATTAATATCAATTTACCGTTATAACGCGCTTAATTATAATTAAACAAACAAACGCACAAACATGCATGTTTATCGCATTCGATTTATCTTTCATTTATGTATATGTATACACACATATACGCACATCTATATTTATTGCATATTTGATGTTAACAATCGCAAAGGCAACAAAGTGTGTGAGTGAAAATTAAAAAAAAAAAAACAAAAAAAAGAGAATAACAACAACAAACAACAACAACAAAACTTGACTAATCCAACCAATATCAGTATTGTTCAAGCGATAAGCAAAAGAGGAAAAAAAAAAAAACAAAACACCAACAGCAACCACAACAAATACAAAATTTATTATAAAAGTTTCATAATGTTCGGTAATTTGAATAATTTATTAAATTATTATAAAAAAAAATTTATATATTGCTTTTATGAATTTCTTGCTTCTCATAAATATTAAAAATATTTAAACATAAATTTCTATAGCCATCATCAAATGGTTGTGGTATCAACACTAGGATGTGATCATTTTACCAAGCAATTGGAAACGCTTTGAAAGCCTCATAATAGATCTTATCATTAAATCAATTGGAGCACGTACACTTCACTGTCAGCGTATCAGTGACGTCAGCCTGGAATCGTAAATGTAGTGAAACTTGAATAGAAATTCTACCGCTTACCCTGCATATCAGAAAATACGCCCACACAAACTAGAAACTAAAAAGACTTTCAATGCGTAACTATTTCTATTTACTTAATTTATCTTTTATTATCAGCAATTCTAAAAACCATGGGTAATATGAATTGATTTCGCCGCAAAGACTGTTATCAACTGAATTCTCAGTTAATTAACAAATCAATATATAATCAGTTAAAAATAAAAAACTCTGTAGCGAGCCGCGGCCCACCATTCATTACTGTACACCCGTACAGCTATTCAATCAACGACTTTTCAAAAAATAGCATTATATGGCAAGTGGTCGGAAAAATGATGCGATCGAAACCATTGTCAATAGCGTTCGCCCTTGGACCAAAACACGTTAGTGCCCCAAGTTTTTTATTAAAATATTTCAAAAATTTCTCTCTGCAGATCGAATATAACAAAGCAAGACAAACAGACGGACAGATAATGTTAAATCGATTCAGAAAGTGATCGGTAAAATAAAAAGTTGGTCTGCTGCATACACTCGCACAAACTTTATATTCCTTCTGTATTACAAGCGACATAGGGTAAATGAACAGGGAACAAACGTTGGAAACCTTCAACGACTGTAAGTCACATAACACCTTTCATATTTTTACATAAATACTAAACTTTGTTTAAAAAAAAAAAAAAGAGTCCTGATGGGTTCACTAACACATTCAGTGGTGACAATTTTATATACTTGCTTGCAAGTAGTAATCGATGTTTAAGATTCGTTCCAATGTAGAATTAATTTTTTTACTTGTTCTCTATCATTTTGAATAAATTTCTTTTTAATTAGAATATTCAAATTCAAATAATCCATTATAAATCGAGTTCATTTATAATAGAAATCAATTAGCACACAGTTTACTCGGTCATTGATCTTTACATTTCAGTAGTTATCCATGTATCATTTATTTATAAATCTTTACCACCAATGCATAGACCATCGCATTAAATAGCAAACGATACAGATTGAAATACGTCGATTCAAATAAACTGCCCGTAGAAGAAGAAGAAGAAGAAGAAGAAAAAGAAGAAGATTTGTGAATTGCTTTTTCTTTTAGGTGGCCAAAAAGTAACAATGTTACAACCTTTGGTAGTCTCTCTACGGTTCTTCTTGAAGCATTCACACAACATGGGTGTATTTTGAGAAATCAAACAACAACCGCGAAGAGTGAGGTTAAAAATTCATGCAAAACAACAACATACACAGTCAAATTGTAAAAATCGTACAATCGAAAAATCGATTATGTATAATCGCTACAAAGGTGTAAAATATTAACAGTTAACGGCTTCATTTAAATTTCATAAACTTTCTAAAAAAAACTAGCATTACATAGAAAAAAAGAAAATTAAGTGAGATAAGTGAGTTGGAATAAATACGGTATAGACACCTAAGTCGACCTACTAAATACTCTCCTTCTTCGTTTGTAAAATATTAAAAGTTATTTAATTACTGTCATAGAAAATCGGAAAAATATACCTAGAAAGTCTAGCCTTGCCATACTAGATTTAGATGTCAAGTCATTATTTTGGAAAAAGTAAATGAAACAATTCATTGTATTAAAGTAAATTGTACTCTAGACATTGCAGTTATATTATAAATAACATCTCCACCACGGCCTTGAGCATATTGACACCAACTGCTAATCAATCTGTGCAGCATTGGCTGCCTTACCTCTTTACCTCCCACAATTATTATGCTTATGACGAATACAAATACTTAGATGCAAAACAAAGTCGCACGTTACAGGCCGGCTATTAAGAAACCCACGCTTTGTTACGCTTAACACAAACCTTCATCTATCTTCATCATAATTTATCAAAAATTGCACCTTGTTGCCATACCAGTGTTTGCCTTGCATGAGAATTTGTATTTGAGAGAATAGAAAAAATAAACATATATATATAGCACTCCGAGATTACCATAATACATGTGTATGTCAATCCGGTGTTTTATATGCTAATTTTCACCATAAATTGCTTGCTGCCACATGGAAGTTTTCTTTTCTTAATAAAGTTTATAACGGAGGGATATCCAGATGGGTTAGGTCACATCGTAATTTTCGATATTCATATTAAATGAGCCAAGTCTTATAAAAATACGTGGACATACATCAGATACAGAAATAAGCTTAAGTCGATTTGAGAAACTATTCTAGATGGTACAGTAAGAGGGGAGCTCAATATTAAAGTTTTCTGGGTGCTATAAACATCAAGGAAACTTAATGTGTGTGTGAGTGATCTAAAATTTATAAAAGATGGGAATTATTGTATATATCACTTCCGTTCAATTGGCATGACTATCTTAGGGTTAGTGTGGTGGATAGTGTTAAATCATATTGAACTCTAATCATGTTAAAGCATCGCCTTAAGAGTTTATGTTTTAAGCACTCAGAGTCATTCGTTGAAACGCATACCGTATAACAGAGTCTTCGCAAACAATCGAGTTGTGCCGCAAACAATCCCATTAGCAGATAGGATTGATTTTCGTTATAGGTCAGGAATAAGAATCACGATCCAATATACATACAGTATGCATACTAGACAATGATAAAGTTATTGACCCGGCAGCCGTGCATTCGAATAGGCCAACTCCATGTAATAAATACATTATAACCAACTTCAACGCAACAATAACAAGAACAGTAGTGTTGCGTTTTCGCACTTTGCAGTACAATCCTATATAGAACTCGATAGTATTGCTTCAATTCTGTATAGCGGTGTAAATGATCCCAAGCTCTTGCTATATGGATAAAAACAATCATGTTGACGGTTCTGAAAAACTTGCCTTTTTTTTGCATATTTTACAGAAGTAAAGTCACATTTAAAATGTCATCAATGTTTGTACGAATCTAGAGTGCGAAATAAGCCCAATTAAGATTGACTCAGGTATTACTGAAAAAGGACCCCAATTTTTTACCATAACAACGGTCAGCGAACTATTGCAGATCCCTTTAAAGCAACTTTAACAGCACTGAACTGGGTTGCATGGGATGTGGTAGCTCAATAACGATTCTTCTGCTATTCTCTGTCCCTCTTTCATTCTTATGAGGATATGCAAAAAGTAAATTCTTCCATGGATAAGCCCGAAATGTCATTTGTTCTACCATCCCGGACTTTATAGTGGATCAGCAAAGTAAAAATAAAATGTGTCGAAAGAATTTAAATGCCATCCGGCATTATTTTATTTTATAATAAACTTTTAATTTTACTAAAAGAGAAGGGCTAAAGACTTATTTGCATACAATCAGCTTAAATTATTGTTTCTTTCAATAGACCGAGGATGTAGTCATGTAAAGTTCTCTATTGTATAAGTAAAGGTATGCCTCTGTTTAAAATTGACTTTAATTCGGATTTGTTATGAAATTTTTCACCAAAGAATATCGTGTTGTCCTCACAGAGTTTACGATATTTTCTGCTTATCGTATGTCATTATTTAAAATGTGAAATAATTTTATTTTTTTATATTTTTTTCTATGTTCTACTATCTCTGACTGCTTGATGTGTGTCTGTTTATCAAGTAAAATTTTAATTATTATAATTTCTACCCTTTTTAGAAGTTCATCATCATATATACATAGGTTCAAATGTTTTACTGGTATGTTCCACTCCTACCCAAAAAAAAAAGGAAAAGGAAAATATCGTGCTCGTTAATTTACTTTTAAAATAACGGTAAAACGGAAAGTTTGCTCTACTTGTTGGTTTTAATTATCCCCAAAATGAAAAAAAAAAGATGTAATTATATAAACACAAAATGAAATCCTTCGTTTGTAAACAAGGCCAACAACAAAAACAACAACAACAACATTAAATGATAGTAACCTGCATTTCAAACAGTTATATATATATATATATATATATATATATATATATATATATATATAT